AAAAATAAACTCAAAATGGATTAAACATGTAAATGTAAGACCAGATACTATAAAACTCCTAGAGGAGAACATAGGCAGAACACTCTTTGGTGTAAATCACAGCAATATTTTTTTTTGGATACATCACATAGAGTAATGGAAATAAAAACAAAAATAAACAAATGTGATCTAATTAAACTTAAAAGCTTCTGCACAGCAAAGGAAACAGATTTTCACTTTTTAAGAGAACCCATTAAATTTTTTTCTTCCTAATCTTTTTACTTCTCTGTGTCTCTCTTCATATCCATGTGTTATCTTTTATTTCTCATTGTGAAAACATCAACATAAGGAAAAAATCAAATAAAATAATAACCTCACTGTGTCTATATTCTAATTTACTATGCTGTACCAATATAATGTGGTGGAATTTGCAAAGCAAAAATAAATCAACATCCCAGTGTTCAGGGGATGGGCCACCAAAGAACAGGAATCCGTCATTGTATTACTAAGGAAATGCATGTTTGTGAGACCAGGTATAACTTTTCTGGATGAGCCACAGTTTTGAAATCCAACATATAGCCTTTCAGTTAAAAGCATGGATTCCTGAAATTAAAAGATCCTGGGTTGAGTTCTCTGCTGTGTGCCCTTCAGTAAGTTTGTTAACCTCTTTATATCTCCTTGCATATGAAATGTGAATAGTGTCCTTATGTATGAATAGTGTCCTTGTATATGAAATGAAGATAATAATAACACTTTCCCCATAGTGTTATTGGGGACATAAAATGAAATACCACATGTAAAATGCTCACATAGTACCTGCCACAAAGTAAGTGCTTAATGAATACTAGCTACCATTATTATTGCTATTACCTCTTGGTTTTGAATAAGAGAGTGCCAGCATGTTTAGGAGAAAACCAGTGGAAGTGAGTCTGTGGTGCCCTATAATTCGAGGATATTTTAGAGTTTAAAAGGAATAATGTATAGTTGGAGCAGTCTTCATCATTTATACCCTGCCATCTTCCACACATTGTTTAATGTACCTCTCTATAACAAAAAATGTAAAATAAAAAATTCAGAACAACAAGAAAATACAGGGCTTCCCTGGTGGCACAGTGGTTGAGAGTCCGCCTGCCGATGCAGGGGATACGGGTTCGTGCCCTGGTCCGGGAAGATCCCACATGCTGCGGAGTGGCTGGGCCCGTGAGCCATGGCCGCTGAGCCTGCGCGTCCGGAGCCTGTGCTCCGCAGCGGGAGAGGCCACAACAGTGAGAGGCCCACGTACTGCAAAAAAAGAAAATACATTGGAATAGGGGAGCAAGTCCAGGTGAAAATCTGAATGTAGAATGCGGTCTGGAACTGGTGTGCGGGGACAGCTCTCTCAGCCTCCACAAGGAATTTTAGAAAGCCTGTGAGCTCTGGCTGAGCTCTGGAAACCTCTGCGCCTCATCAGGCCGTTTTTGTCTCCTATCCTCTCTGGTTTCTACCCCTGTTATTCTGCCTTGATATTACTTCCCCTACATTATTCTACTGTAATATTTTTTGCTTGTAAGATTTTTGTTGATCAACCTACCATGCTTCTCTGCACCAAAAGATATGTTTGTAAACGTAAAAAAAATTTCCTGTGGCTTGTAAGTGTTAAATTTCTCAGCCCTCAATAACATTTTGGTGAAAAGTAAATGAAAATGTTTTTCTTATGCAATGTTTTTATCTTTCCCCCTTCTCCAACTCTGCAATGTTTTTCCATATTTTCAAGAAAATGTGCAACATGAACCTTCCCAATATAAAAAATAATAACATAACTTATAGAGTGCTACCAAATGTATTATTCTAAGGGCTTCACAGCAATCTCATGAATTGGGTACTGTTATCACCCTCAGTTTTGCAGATAAGCAAACTGAGACCCAGGAAAGTGAAGAAATTTGTGGGAGGCCACGCTGAGCTTAGATTTAAAACCGGAAATTCTAGTTCTTCAATCTGTGCTCTTAGCAGGTATGCTGTACAGCTTCTGGATCTTCCTTTCGTCTTAAGATAAAACATTAGGGACTTCCCTGGCGGTGCAGTGGTTAAGATTCTGCCCTCCCAGTGCAGCGGGGCCAGGTTCGTTCCCTCATCAGGGAACTAGATCCCACATGCATGCTACAACCAAGAGTTCGCATGCCACAACTAAAGAGCTGGCAAGCCACAATTAAGGAGCCCGCCTGCCGCAACTAAAGACCCAGCACAGATAAATAAATATATTTTTTAAAAGATATAAATTAATCAGCTGGAAGTAAATGTACAACTTATAATGTCTTTCTCCTTGAAAATCATGCAAAATATCCAACTGTGATCTAAACCAAGAAACTCTTGAATGAGACACAGTTTCTCCTTATGGAGAACGGTGTATAAGCCAGGGAAGCGTGCTTCATAGTAAGTTGCTATCTCCCAGCAAAGTTTTACAAATCTTGAATATTCTAAAATAGGTAGACAGACAGATAAGGTGGGTTGATTTGCCATAGGGTTTTCACCTAGGTTAAACAAGGAACTGCCACTCTTATTATTTCATACTGATGACAGCATACTGATGACAGCTCTGCTTTCATAAGTTGCTCCCACAGAAGGATGTATTCTTTGACAGGAGATGAAAGAGAAGAGATTGTTAAGCAGAAATCTTTATCACCCCTGCTACCTCACTCTACAATATATCTGAATAAATAACATCTTAACATGTACAAAACTTCCCCGTTTATTACACTTCTTTTAGCCCCTAATAGGAATTTATGTGAGGCAAGGGAAAACATGAAGCCCTACTCTGGGTATACAATGACTAAATTAGAAGAGATTTTGAGTTATCCCTTTATTTGCACCCTGGAATTTTTTGCACCTAGGGAAATCCACCATAATAATATAGGAGCTAGAATGTAAAAGGTGGGTGGGTGGCTATAGAAGGAAAGCTAGAAAAGTATAACTAGCAGATGCTTTGACCACAGCCACAAAATACATATCGAAGTTGAAGATCTGGAAGATGATTCCCATAAAATATCCCACACCTGCATAATACTCTTTAGAAAGTCTTCATATACCTCCAAGGGTATGGGCAGACTCCATTTAAAGATCATTGCACTAGGCCAACAGTGCAAAAGCGCTTAATCCTGTCAACTTCCTAGACCTCTGCTTGGGTCAAACTTCCTTGGTGAGCTGGGGCTTTGTTGGGTTAAAACATGTTTCGTCCATGTAAGCAGATCCCATGATAGAAGTTGAGTCATGATGCTTCCTAACTCTATGTACACACTCCAGTTTCTGGGAGTAGCGAGATGTTCACAGTGTAACCATGTCAATTAACCACAAGCTGAATTACTTACTCACCGTGGTTTCATCTCTTTTCATCTCCCACTGTCTCAAAGTGCCCATTGCTGTTTATCTTTGGAAATCAAAATTTTTATCTACACGATATGCCTGCTGGGTAATAATATTTTTACAGCCTTTTACTTCCTCTGGTCTATCTCTTCCTTTTTTCTCTGTTTTGAATCTTACTACTTGTGTGTTAGTCCTCCTGAATCAATCCTCCAAGAGTCTTCTATTCTCTATGTCAGTGATTTTCATCTCTGGTTTGTTGTATCTAATTGAGCTGCTTTCTCCACTTGCTCTTCTAAATAACTAACTTTATTCTCAACCATCATCTTTGAATTTGTCTATTACAATTTTAAACTTGAAAATGCATGTTTTACATTTAAAAATTATCTAAATGGACTCCCTTGCTTTATTTTCACGTTTTTCACATTATGCTTTCCACAGTTCACACCAGTGGGAGGCAACTTTCTAGGGGGTTCAACTCAGCTTCTCCTTCCGGTTGCTGGATCCCTGTAGGTAAGATAATGATGATGATGATGATGATGATGATGATGGGCCTGTACATGGCTCAGCATGGCCTCACTGACTAGGATCAACCGTCTGGTTTGCTGACACTTGAGAAACCCAATGAGTGGTGGAAGGCAGAGCAGTTCCCACTGCTGTGAGGTGGGGTGAACCCACCAACAACCTGCTAATTCTCTCCTGAGGCCTCTGTCCCGGGTGGAAGTTGTGTCACTGGCCTCATGGATTCAGAGCAACCCAGCCTTTCAAAGCAGCTCGCCTCTGTCCTCCAAGACCTGTAGGATCAGAGAGCCTTCTATCCTAGACCATGAAAGGGGTATGTGCAGCCTTTGTGGGAGGGGAATTCATGAGAATCTCAGGCTTTACCCCAGGTGTCTCTGCCATAACCCTCTTGAAAGGAAATCTTAGCAGGCCAGGAAGTCTTTCCCTTGATAAAAACAGGAAGCACTTTCTCTCTGCTTCCAAAGGCAGCACTGAGAGTGAGAGTATCAACCAACACCTTCATTCTTACAAATAACCCAGGTCTAGAGCAAATGTAAATGGCCTGGAAACTGTGACTTTGAGTGACCTCCCTCCCCGCCCCTCCCCCCACCCAACAGCATACCTTCTCCTGTCATGCTCTGGGTTCTGCATGTGCTACAACATAATCTCTACCTACCACAGGCTTAATCCATGAGCCTGTAGGATCCGGGCACCTGCCCTCCCTTCTCATCTCTCCCAGTTCAATTCCCCTCTCAGTCTGGGAGATTCTTGGGGGCACAGGGTTCCTGCTTGGGGCAAGAAGCATTAGAAAAAAGGGACAGATATGGATGATGTCTCTGGATTTTACTGTGGATTCTGAATGCCAAGTGGATTCTAGCATGGGGTTCTCTCATACAACCGGGAAATTCAACTCGGCGCAGCAGACACCCACTTGTGTGCACACACAGGTTCTCTCTGTGATACAGTTTGTATGTGTTTATTTCTTAGCTAAATGACCAGCAGAGTCTACTCTTTCCAGTGTCTGGCAAAAGCAAGAGAGAGGGAGGAAGTGTCTTTCCCAAGGCTGGCAGAGACCCAAACAAAGCTGGGAGGGGACTCCTGGGGACGAATGAAAGGACACTCAGATCTCTGGTCCCCCAGGCTGGGTTCCTCTTTGAGGAATGTGGCTCTCTGGCTTCAGCAGCCACTTAGAGCCCACTGTGGCTCTCTCTCAGCTCCATGGCCACTGAGGATACTGGTCTCCTCCAGAATCGATTAGGGCTCCACCTAGACCGGTGGTGGACTGTGTGATTCCCTCCAGGGCCTAGGCCGAGGTTTGGGCCATGGAGTGGATAGACAGCTGTGTCAAAGACATTTCTCAGGGACAGGGAGTTTCTCTAGAAAAAGAAGGCAGAATCATTTCAGAATTGGATTCCCCCCCACCCCCGAGAAGCCTTCACCAGGGACTCCTTCTGGAATCTTCTCTCCCTTTAAACCATTTCCCTCATTCAGCAGTCCTTCCACCGTCTTTATTTCTTCTTTTGCTCCCCTTTCCCACAAGTCAATAGCTTCCTCTGCACATTGATTGGCTCCTCTGGTTCTAACTTGCTATGTCTCTTTCGTAACTTTCTCGTGATTTTTCTTTCCTCCCTACTCATCCCTAACTTGGTGGCCCTACTATTCATAGTTTATTTCCCTATTCCTTCCCCCCAGGCAATTTCCTATATATTAGGCATTCACCACACAGAAGTAGAGCCCAACAAAGAATCCCACAGCCACTGTAACCGAGACCAGAGTGATGAGGAAGATTTCCCATGGCTTCAGGGACCCACTGGGCCCTTCATTCACTGTAGTTCCAGCACTTGTGCTAGTACTGTTGGAAGTTGTGATTGTTTCAATTGTCAAAGGTGTACCAGAGCCTCCTGCGGTTGCACTGGATCCAGTGTTGGAGGCCGTGGTGGTCCCACTGGAGGTTGTGCTGGATCCAGTACTGGAGGTTATGCTGGTCTCACTGGAGGTCATACTGGAACCAATATTGGCAGGTGTGCTGGTCTCACCAGAGGTCATGCTAGATCCAGTATTGAAGGCTGTACTGGTCCCCCCAGAGGTTGTGCTGGATCCAGTGTTGACAGGTGTGCTGGTCCCTCCAGAGGTCAGGCTGGATCCAGTATTGGAGGTTGCGCTGGTCCCTCCAGAGGTCATGCTGGTTTCAGTATTAGAGGTTGTGCTGGATCCACTGGAGGTCACTTGGGGTCCAGAGTTGGTGGCTGTGCTGGTACCACCATAGGTCGTGCTGGGTATAGTGTTGGAGGCTGTCCTAGTCCCACTGGAGGTTGCGCTGGATCCAGTGTTGACAGGTGTGCTGGTCCCTCCAGAGGTCAGGCTGGATCCAGTATTGGAGGTTGTGCTGGTCCCTCCAGAGGTCAGGCTGGATCCAGTATTGAAGGCTGTACTGGTCCCCCCAGAGGTTGTGCTGGATCCAGTGTTGACAGATGTGCTGCTCCCTCCAGAGGTCATGCTGGATCCAGTATTGGAGGTTGCGCTGGTCCCTCCAGAGGTCATGCTGGTTTCAGTATTGGAGGTTGTCCTGGATCCACTGGAAGTCACTTGGGATCCAGAGTTGGTGGCTGTGCTGGTATCACCATAGGTCATGCTGGGTATAGTGTTGGAGGCTGTCCTAGTCCCACTGGAGGTTGCACTGGATCCAGTGTTGTCTGTGGTGGGTTCACTGGAAGTTGGGCTAGGTGTGCTCCCACTAATGGAGGTTATGCCTAATGATAATCATAAATGATGACATATATTGAGCATATATATTTTCTGCTCAATGGTTGGTTAAACTCGTTACATGGATAATTCTATTTAATGCTCACTACAGCCCAATGAAATAGATATTATTATTATCAACAGCTAAGATGAAAAAATTGAGGCTTAGAAATGTTGACACTTGCCCAAGTTTGCATAGCTAGTAAGTAGTAAAACAGTCATTTGAACCCAGGCCATTGAATCTGCACTTTTAGCTTCCATGCTAAGTCACCCTCCACATCCACCCCCAACACCAGGGTTACATGACCTAATTTCACTGATAGTAAGCTTATTCCATCATCTGCTGTACAATATTCAACACAGATAAAAAGTATTATAAAGGAGTTGTAGAACCCAGGTGAAACTAGTGTATATTGATTCATTCATTATTAAAGTGGTATTGCTTCTTTCTTGGAAAATATTTCCGAGTGTTATTCAGAAAACACCTATATTAGAATTATCTGGGGACCTTGTTGAAAATAAAGATTTCTAGGCAAACCACTCCAGACTAAATGAATCAGAGTGTGAGATAGGCCTAGGTATCTGGGTGATTACATATGCATTAAAGTTCCACAGGCTCCTGATTACAAGGCAAAGGTTAGAAAAGAGCAAGTTATATGTAAGTTAAATATATAAGATCTCCCAGGATTAAAGTCTGCAAATCAAGATCTACAGGTATAGAGAAGCATTTCCACCTTCTTGAAGGCTCAGCTAGAGTTAAGGTTGTGCCTATTTTTTGCCTCTCACTACCTTGAAGGACAAAGATGCTCAGCCTCCCCAGATAAACAAAATTTATCTCATTTGTGGCTCATTTTACTATTAATTTGGACATGAGTGCCTAGCACCTCATCCCACATGTGTGTAGCTTATTTGAACTAACATAGTATTAGAGTTTAGCTCTATTTGGGGAAGGCCCCCTAAAATCTGCAATGGGGTACAAATTGGAGTTAAGGTTAGAATCGTGAGTAGAACTAAATAAGAAACTGAGATGAACAAAAGTAGGGGTGACGTGAAAGAGGGAGTGGATTTGATTTGAGAAGTTTTGGAGAATAGAATAGTTGAGTCAAAATTGTATGAGGGTGGGGCTTCCCTGGTGGCGCGGTGGTTGAGGGTCTGCCTGCCGATGCAGGGGACACAGGTTCGTGCCCCAGTCCAGGAACATCCCACATGCTGCAGAGCGGCTGGGCCCGTGAGCCATGGCCGCTGAGCCTGCGCGTCCGGAGCCTGAGCTCCGCAACAGGAGAGGCCACAACAGTGAGAGGCCCGCGTACCGAAAAAAAAAAAAAAAAAACTGTATGAGGGCTAATTTTGATTCAAAATGATGAATTCTCAGGGAAGTACCCTGATGGTCTAGTGGTTAGGATTTGGCACTTTCACTGTTGTGGCCCAGGTTAAGTCCCTGGTTGGGGAGTTGAGATTGTGCAAGCCGTGTGGCACTGCCCCCCCAAAAAAAGAAAAAAAGAATTCTTTAAGAAGTCATGCTTCCTAGTTGCACAATAGGAGACAGCCCGAGGAGCATTTAATAGAGTGTCAGAGGTGCGGAGCAGAGTGGGAGTTAGTTTTGACTTAAATCCTTTTCTCCTTGGCCTGAGGCTGACTGAGGCTGATTGTGGAATAGGGGTTAAGGACACGAGAAAAATTAAGTTTTTATAATATAGAAGAGTGATATTTTAAAATAACAGTCGACTCTTCTTGTTATTAATATTTAAACCCCAGCCATATCTCACAGGTTATTACCATTTTATAGATGTAGAAATGGAGGCACAGAGAAGTTAACTCATCCAAAGTGTACCGGTAACAGATGGAGCTTTGATTCAAACGTAGGCAATTGGAGACCAGAGTCCACAGTTTTAACCACTGTGCTCTGACTGCCTCCCAGGTGATACCTAATTAGACTGAAGCGATTGGGGTGAAATGATGACCCTCACTCTATGGCGGAGAACCAGTTATTCCTAGTGCCGGTCATCATCTCCCACAATCCCTCAAAAGTTCACAGACCATCCACCTTTAAAGAAAAGCACTCACCATATTCCAAAAGTAGGAGATGCAACAGTAACCAGTACGTAAGGCAAATGTTTCTTTTCTGCATCTTGATCTGCCTCTTTGTGGCTGGTAAAAAAGATGTTTGGATCCCAAATGTGGCCAAGACCTAGAAGGCAAAGAACAATATTCTTGAGAAAGGAGAGTTCAAGGTGAAGAGATAAAGGCTGGAGCTTCCAGGAGCTTGGGTCTACTACGTATGTGTTCTTGGAAAGAATCTGGAGCTTATCGGGCTGGGAGACTGGATGCCTGGGCTTCTTGAGCTTCCTCCACACAATGTTGTTGCCTCTTTCTTTATCATGGAAGAGCTGCAGGAGCCTTTATAGCTTCATATAAGGGAGGGGTTGGGAAGTTGCCTTCTTCTTCTGCCAACTATGAGCAGGTAACAAAACAATATTGAGCCTGGGAAGGAATAGACTGGGGTTCAACAGGAAGGTGAGAAAGGAGAATGACATGATCATACTAGGCAGGGCACTGGGATGGGTTTGAGCAGGAAGTAGAATGCAATAAGCAGATCAAGGTTGTCAGAGTGGAAGAGACCCACCCTTTAGGCAAAAATAGGGCCAGAAACCTGTTCCAGTTCAAGACTTTGTTTCCTGGTCAGGAAGTCCTGTGTGCCTGCTTTTAGCACGGAAGAAGCCCTAATAGACTGAGCTGAAGGGTAGGACCCAACATCTTTGAATCAAAAAAAAGGAAAGAGACCTCAAAGAGAGCAGTAACTAGGGATCTGGGCTCCTGGGATATGGGCAGAAGACAGACGGTATATTGCTGAGCATGCAGTAGGCACTCAACAATGCACAATGACTGAACAGGAAAAGAGAGATCCATGGGTCGTGTAGCCATCTTTGGGGTCTCTGGCACATGGGGGATGAGGGTGGGGGAGAGTGTTGAATATGCAGGAACAAGCCACCTGTCACACTCATAGCAGGTAAAGGGGTGGTATAGGGCCCCCCCTTTAAAAAATTTTATTGAAGTATACTTGATTTACAATGTTGTGTTACTTTCTGCTGCACAGCAAAGTGATTCAGTTTTATATATATATATATATATATATATATATTCTTTTTCATATTCTTTTCCGTTATGGTTTATCACAGGATATTGAATATAGTTCCCTGTGCTATACAGTAGGACCTTGTTGTTTATCCATCTTATATATAATAGTTTGCATCTGCTAATCCCAAAGTCCCAATTCTTCCCTCCCCCACTCCCACATTTTTCATATTTTTTCCGTTATGGTTTATCACAGGATATTGAATATAGTTCCCTGTGCTATACAGTAGGACCTTGTTGTTTATCCATCTTATATATAATAGTTTGCATCTGCTAATCCCAAAGTCCCAATTCTTCCCTCCCCCACTCCCACAAGGGCCGCCTTTTGATTCTCAACCATAGGGGTTCCTGTCTTGTTTGTTTTCGGAGTAATTCATAGGACCTTTTCTTCCCTGAGATCCTTCAGATGTTCCTTCTCATCAGCTTTAATGAAGCATCTCTCAGCAAGGTATACCACGGGCACCACATTAGGAGACTTCAGGTCTGTTGGGGGAGGGAGATACTTACTTAGTCCAAGTCTTCTAGGAACTTCAAGTTGCGTCTGGATGCAGGTATAGCAGCAGAAAGGACCCACAGTCAGCTAAATGAGCAAGACTGAAGAGACCCAAATGAGCGGAGGGTTGGGGAGTTTATGGGGAAGGCTTCTTATGGCTAGGGTAAGGGGAGTGGGATTGAAGGGAGTTCCAGTGCACAGTCTGTATGACCAAAGTCAGCTGTCTCCATTCCCTGTCAATGAGGAGAAGCTTTGTGGAAGAAGCGACATCTCAGGTAGATTATTTATAGGTGAATGGGTATCCCCGACATGTAAGACCTGCTAGAAAGAAGCTGGCAAGCAGGAGGTGGCTGGAGGCATGAAGGAGCTTGGAATAAGTCAGTCTGAGAGTCAAGAGGGACAGAGTGTGCTAAGAAAGGCTTACGTGCCTAGCGGCTGTGATGAGTGGTTCCTGAGGTTGAGGTGTGAGGGGCCAGTCAGTGACAGGTGGGGTCTTGAACTCCCAGCAATCCTAATCTGTGGCTGTAAAGCCAACAGCACTCTAAGAAAGAAAACTTTTCTTCCCTCTAGAATTAATTGGAGGCAGAGGTCCTGAATTCAAATCCACATTTCACCTTTTAGAGATATCCTAAAAAAATTTTACATGCATACTTATCAGTCTAAATGTAATTAATATCTTTATGCTCCTTCAAAACAATACAAGGACCTTGGAACTCTTTCATTCTTATTACCTGTCTCCCAGTTCAAACCCTAACATTATCAAGTATGTTAATTCTATCTTGTTTTTTAACTTCATGAGAAGTTATTGCTATCTACTAACACACCATAAGAATATAGTCACACAGCTACAGTAAGCTGCAAGAGAGACTGGGAAATATAGTCCTTTGCTGGGTGGACATGTGCTCAACTAAAACTTGAGAATTCTATTTTCAAAGATGGATAATGGATATTAGTAGACAACCATAAAGCTATGACAATATCTATAGTTTTTGCGGATCTGATCCTGTTGTCTATTTGTTTTGTTTTGTTTCTTGCTGGCTTTCACTCATGGTGCCTCATTTTTGATTTGAGATTTATGACTGTAAATTTATTTTTCTTGGGTTGTTATCTATATGAGTCCTTTGAAACCCAAGATGAGTTCTGATCTTCCACAGTGAATTTGCATGTTTTTGCCAAGCATAGGGAGACAATACCACTTGTAGATTCCTTTAAATTAAGTTATATGCTTGAGCTCTTTTGAATTACCTAGGTTACATGATTTGGGGCTGCAAACCATGTAAAGTATTGTGGTTACAAATTATTTCTCAAGAGGTACTTCCCCCATCCTCCCTTCCCTTGCACTGAGTTTAGAGACAGGCAATTTTGCTTGCATTTCCTTAGAGGAGGGGTGGGTTTGTTTTTGTTTGTGTTTTTTAATATTTATTTGGCTGCACCAGGTCTTAGTTGCAGCACGCGGGATCTTCGTTGCGGCATGCAGGATCTTTTAGTTGTGGCATGCAGAATCTTTAGTTGCGGCACTTGGGATCTAGTTCCCTGACCAGGGATTGAACCTGGGCCCCCTGTATTGGGAGCGTGGAATCTTAGCCACTGTACCAGCAGGGAAAGTCCCGGGGTGGGTTTGGTTTTAGTTTACACTCTCCCTGAAGGTTTCAGATTTATGTGAAGGTCTACTACAAGAGTCCTCACCTGGGTTGGTCTGACTGAGGTTGTGCTACCTGAAGCTTAAATTCACTGGTTGGGCAAAAGTTGGCTTGAGTACTCTTACCTCCTTAGGTTCCTACCTTAACTTAGTCTTTACTTTTAGCATTCCTTACTGTCCTGCTGATTCAATGATACTTTTAAGAAGAATTTTTAGTACACCATTTTTAGTTTTTCAGCATATTTTAAGACACGTAGCCCATTATAGAGCCAGAAATTTAAGTCCTCGTTGGATTGTTCTGAGAAGTAAATGATCGTGTATTTAAAGGCACAGCACAGTGTTTGGTGCATAATAAGCACGCAACAATAAAGGACAAAGGAAGAGCATAAATATGTAGATGCCAAGTGTATTTTGAGATTTTAATAGTAGCACGTTGCAGTGATTTTCTTCTTACTTGTCGTATAGCATTTGGAAGAGACAAAGAAGTGGGGAGGGAGAATCTTCCCAAAGATGAAGGAGACCTGGAGGTCATGTGTAGGTCAAAGATGGCTTTCTGTCTACCTAGTTTGTATGATTTGAAGCTACAAACCCAAATGAAGAATGTTATGCAATTACAAATTCTCAAGGGAGGTTTTTACTCCCCTCCACTCAGTGTCAAGTTTAGAGACAGACATTTGTCTCAGTCGCCAATGCGCAAGGTGGGCAATACAATTTCATTCTAGTTTAACCACTGAAACCTTAACCCTTTTAGGTCTCAGCTTTCTTTAGAGTCTCCTATTAGACTCCACCCCTTATGCAGGTCCTGGACTTTGTCTCCTGTACCCTAAGTGCTAAGAGGCTGTGAGAAGGTAAGCTTAAATTCACCAGATACAGCAAATGCCCTCAGTGTGACAGCTGGTTCAGAGCTCTCCTTCAGCCTCTCTGAGTCTCTGCCTTCTCTTGGTTGTTGATCTAAATATTACCTACTATCTACCCAGCTAATTGATACTATCTACCCAGCTGATTGATATAGTTACAAAGATTTTTTTCAATATTTTATCCAGTAATTTTTGTTGCTTTCATTAAGGGGGGTGGTTAATGCATCTTGTCCACTATATTGCCAGAAAAGTAGAAATTCTCAAAAGATTGTTTTGAGATTACAAATTTCAAAATTGTTAAATGATAGTGCATTTAAAATTATGTAGTACAATGCTTAGCACATAGTAAGCACTCAGTAACAAAGGGAAAAAGGAGGGGAAAGAATGCTCAAACAGATAAACAAGGAAGCAAGTCATCTTGCTACCACAAATAGTATGAGCTGTGTTTTTTAAGGCTGTAATCACATCTTCCTTCTTCCTACTGGTCACACTGTGTCATGAGGAAATAAAAAAGAATTCCAAAGTGAAAGGGCACAGGTTATTACTTGTGCATTAGGAGAGCAAAGAGAAACTGTTGTGCAGTTGGTCACTGTGACTTCCTAAGAGGTTCTGAGCTATGGTTAAGCTTAGGGAGAATCTTTACTTGAGCTCAGGTCCAAATCTGATGAGGCTGCAGGCCTCCTCCAGAAACACTCTCTGTTTTTCTGGCTGCCCTGTTGGTCAAACCCTCTATGATCTCTATCTTTTCTCTGGCTCTTTTCTTGACCTTGCTCATGACCATCTCCATGGCCAATTCCCTGAAGACCTTTTGGAAGCCCATCTTGACCCACTTTATGGCCACTGCCTTCTCTTCCATGATCCCCTTCTTCTGTGATATTTCCTTTTCCAGAGTGCCCTGCATTATCCAGTCTATGTCCATACTCCCCCTTCCTCTGTGTCTTCCTTGGCAGCCTCTTCTGTGATCCACTTCATGGCTCTTGTCATGGCCTCTTCCATGTCCATGATTCCTGCCAGGATCCATGCCATAACCACCCCCTTGGCTGTGGCTTAATTCATGGCGCACTCCATGGCCTACCCTGTGTCCAGAGCCATATGCTCCTCCATGAACCAGTTCATTTTCTAGGCTATAGAACATTCCAGAGCCCAATCCTGAGTCCAGGTCCAGACCAAGGCCAATTCTGTGGTCATGGAGCTTATAAATGCCTCTGTTTATCAGGGGAAAAGAAAAGTCATTCTAAAAGAGAAAAAATATATATTTTTAGAGTTAAATCCTTTTCTTTCAGATCATTAAAACTTGGATTGTCAAAAATCATAAAATTTTGCTTTTCGTCCATTCTTTGTATGTGTCTCTCTTCCTCTCATTTATTTATTTATTCGCTTCTCTGAGACAACAGACTTCCTGATTATTGCACTTGCATACTCTCTACGTGAATGCTACGATCATTGCTCTGTATGTTGGCAAATCTGCATCCTGTACCTAGAGTAGAGTCTCCCAGAAATAGGGAGTCTTTCATTGAGTTAATCAGCCAAGAAAGTTGCATGTCTATGAGGAAAGGTAAAAACAAGAAACTTATGAAAGTTCATAAAATAGAAGTCAGAATAGTAGTTACCTTTGGCTGGGCAGGTATTGACAGGGAGGGGACACCAGAAACTACTCAGATGATAGGAATGTTCAATATTTTGAACGGGATGGTGGTTATTTGGGTGTGTACACATTTTTAAATTAATCAAGCTGTACACTTGAGATCTGTGTACTTCTTATAAGTTATACTTCGAATTTTTTTTTAAGATAAAGGAAGGCCCATTAAGAACTGAAGGTTGGAGAACCAGCTTTAAACACTGTGTCTAAGAGAACAGGCTCTCCTGTGAAGCAGACATCGATTAGAGCCCCAGTTCTGTCAGCACCTCGCCCTGTGATCTTCAGCAAGCTACTTCAGTCTCTGACTCCAGTGTCCTAGCCTGTAAAATGGGTTAATAAGAGTTCATGCCCCAAAGGTGGTTAAGTAGAGTTAAGGAGAAACAATGCTCTCTTGCACTTTTAGTTCTGGACCTTGCACCTAGTAAACAGTTAATAAAATGCTAGTTATTATTATTACATGTTTATCTTAAACAATTAGAGGATTGTTCATGGCTGGTGAGTCACATTTTGTTCTTGCCACAGGGAGGGATCAGAGGATCTGAAATAAGAAACACAAGTAAGTTGATTATAAATTATGCCAGCCATGGGGCTTCCCTGGTGGCGCAGTGGTTGAGAGTCCGCCTGCCCATGCAGGGGACACGGGTTCGTGCCCCGGTCCGGGAAGATCCCACGTGCCGCGGAGCAGCTGGGCCCATGAGCCGTGGCCGCTGAGCCTGCGCGTCTGGAGCCTGTGCTCCTCAACGGGAGAGGCCACCACAGTGAGAGGCCCGCATACCGCAAAAAACAAACAAACAAACAAATTATGCCAGCCGTTTGTGGCTCGTGTGTGAATTTTTCATTGATTTATTGTGTATTTACTCGGGCTCATCCTACACATGCTGAAGACCACTTCTGGAATACATACTGCCAAAATGGGAAAGTATAAGTATATGTTTTAAAAACAGAACAAGAAAGATATATTAGAATAGGAGATTAAGACCAGGATGTAGAATAGAATGCAGAAATGAAGTCTGCTGCTGGCATGTGGCTGTCACCCCTCCCCTGTCCCCAGAGAACTGCGGGGGGCTTTAGGCCTTGAAACATGCGAGCTCTCAGAGAATCAGAAGCCTCGCCTACACAAGGGCAGGAGTTTCTGGGGCTTCTGCCCTTGATAAGGGTATTTTCTTGTTATCCTCCCTTACTGTGTAGTCGAGTATTTTGAAATGGCCAGCCTATCTGAGCTGTGCTAAGAGGTACCTACAAAAGTGAATTTCTTTTCACTTGGGTAAAATCATAAAAAGAGGGGGGAAAAGCCCTGTACTCTCACCCCAGGAAGTATCATGTAATATCTATGATCTTGAAAAATCTGTTGGGGGCCCGAATGATCATCACTTTCTAGAGATCCTTTTTCTGGTGCTGTATAGTTCCAGCTATTTTATAATAGATATGCTTTCCCTTATCCTTGCCTCTATCCACACCACATAGACCCATACACTTACCTCTCTCTTGGGCCCCCACTTCACATTTGTTTTCTTTTTTTTCCATTTCTTGCTATATAATCTATTGTTTATATTTTCTGTTTTGCTCCCTCTTGCGGTCTTTGTATTATGCTATGTGAGAAAGTAAAAATCAGACTGAGAAGGTAACAATCTACCCTGCTGTTCACCAGGCTGGGATATAACAATGTGGATCAAACCAGATGCAAAGATTACTGGGAAGAATATTTTCCCCAAGGACATGCTGCAGCCGTAAAACATCGAAACAGCCCCCTTCTTTGAGTGACTTACTCACTTTCAATGATTTCGTCAGTGAAAAATTTGGTTCTCTAAAATAGTAGACTATAGCAAATTTGCTGTTTGAAATTATATCAGTAAGATGGAAATATCCCATTCTTGTCTGGAGAATCTAAGTTACTTTGGCACAGAGAAGAAGCCTGGATTTCCTACCCAGAGGCAGATGAGTTTCTGAATAACATTCCACATCTCTTGTAACTTTGTACTTTCCAAGGAAACCAGGTCCACTTCACAGTCTAGAGCTGCTGTGGATCCTTGTACACACAGCCCTGCTTTGTTCTGAGCTTATTAAAACTCTGCTTCATTTAACTTTCGCCCAAACTCCACGCTTCCCTCAATACTGTAATGACTCTTTTCCTTAGTTGGTAAGAAGCTCCTTAGTCCCTCTAGTGTACAGTCTCCTTTGGTGCAACAAGCCCATAAATCTGACTTTGTGAGACGGCAACTTTACTCCTGCTGCGCTTATGTTGATTGGGTTAGCATATGTGTGACTCGCCACACACTGACTGCTTTCTTGTTCTGAATATCTTGCTGGTCCCATTCCCATTATTCTGTTCGCATTCATGATCCATCTTCTAGGTGGGTTCCGCCCATCTCCATGTACAGTAACTCACCAGGCAAAACTCAGTCTACTAACAGTCCAACACCAACCATGACTGCAGCCCAAGAGATGAGGATGATGCGTCAGAGCTGCAAATATCCACTTGGTTTAATCACATGTGCTGGTGTGTGGCTCACGCTAATTGTGCTTGTGCCCATGGAGACTGGGCTTGTTTTATGGGAGATGGTGCTGGTTCCAGGAGTGGTGGTTGGCTCATGGGTAGATCCTGTCTTGGTGGTCCTAGTACCTGGCACTGATGTGGTGGATGATGTGCCAATAATGGATGTGCCCAGGGCAGAGGTATTTGGGGCTCTCCCAGGGACAGTATTCCTGGCAGCAGGGGATGTGGAGTCCGTTTCAGGAGCTGTGGAGACAGAGATGGGGGTAGTTGGTTTGGTTCCAGTGATGCTAGTGTCTAGGAAACAGGTCACACGATATGATGCATTGGTAGTGGAGATAATTAACAGGGAGGCAGGTGTCCTTAGAGCAGAGGGGTTGATCTAACACACCTCTGGTACTGGTGGTTTGAGGAGAGGTGTTGTGGTGGGACGAGAGATGGTAGAAAGTGGTTCGCCTGAGGCCACGGTCCCCAGAATAAAGGTGAGTGTCTTACAGAAGAGGAGGTAGAATACGGTCATGGATGGTGCTGTTGATGGTGGAAGCAGAAGATTGAGGAAATGTGACCATGACGCACGTGGACGTGGGAGATCTATTCAATTACGGAAGTGGTCACCCACAGAGAAGAGTGTGGGTTGGGATGAGAGGAATAGGGTCTGATAGTCTTGTGATGTAGTCACTGGGTATAAGGATGGTGCTGGAGGAAGAGATGACAGAATAAGATTTTTCCATGGATGAGGCAGTGCTCATGGCTTGGAGCAGAGGTGACATAAGCTAACACAATCGTGGTGATCAACAAAGTCGAGCTGAGTGTGCTCGGAACAGATGACCCACGTGAAGAGGCTGGCGACCCCAGGGACGGAGGCGGGGTGGGGGCGGGGGACTCAGACAAGGTGGGAGGACAGGAGAGGCAGTAGAGATGGTGCTGTTGGCAGCAATGGTTGTGTTTAGATGAGACGTGGCTACACTGATACAAGAACAGTGTCCGTCCCTGGAATAGCAGAGGGTGGCTCAGAACAAAGTGGGTTGAGTCAGTTCCCATACGAGTGCTGATGGCAAGTGCAGAGGCGGTTTTATTCAGAGCAAGTGCCAGAGTATGAAAAAAGAAATAGTTTGGTCTTGGACTAGAGCAAGGATTGGCAAACTTTTCCTGTAAAGGGCCAGATGGTAAATTTTTAAGCTGTTTGGTCACAGTCTCTGTTACAGTTACGCAAAGTACCTGGAAGGCAGCTATAGATGTAAACGAATAGGTGTGACTGTGTTCCAACAGTACTTTATTTGGAAAGACAGATAACAGGCCAGAGCTGTCTTGTGAATCATCGTTTGCATCCCCTGGACCAGGGTCAGTGTGTTGAGGCCACAGTAGTTTCAGAGGCCTTGGTGGGCACAGACTCCACATGGTTCCTGGGGCTGTGGTAGAAGCTATGGTGAGTGGTCTCACAGCCTGTGGTGGTTTCATTGGTGGAGACTGTGGTGGGCACAGATGTCATCATGGAGGCTGAGGTGCTATCAGAGGCTGTGGTGGTCTCGGCGGGCACTGTGGTAGCTGTGGAGGGCACAGAGCTGTAGCTGTCACAGAGATTTTAGTGGAGACTGTTGTGGTATCAGAGGCTAGGCTGTGCTGGCAGCTGTCCTGGTCTCAGAGTTGGTGGTGGAGGCCATGGTGGTCTCAGAAGATGTCATCGTGCTCCTAGAGCCAGTGGTGGACGCTGTGGTGGACACATATGCTATTGCTGAGGACGGGTAGTCTCAGACGCTTTGGTGAAGGCCTCGGTAGATTCAGAGATCAA